TCCAGGCAGCCCTGTTAAAGGGGACAAGCTGTGCCCATTTCCTTCCCTTGGGCAATGCTGGGTCCAGTCTTGGCCTTCTGTCAACTGTGGCTGGAGGCAGAGACCCCTTCATCTCAAGTCCACATGCAGCAAACTGTCCAGGGCCATGCATGTTTCTGAATTGAAGTCCGTCTGCCCCCTGGACTTCCGGGGTGCTCCAAGGCAGGCTGGAGCCCCAAATCATTGCAGGGCTTCCCTGTCCGCAGGTGCAGGCACAGGCACCAGTTGTGCAGTGAATCCATCTAGCTGCTGCCCTTTCCCCCAATAAACACACTTTTTGTATCTCTCTCCCTCCCTCCCTCTCCCCTGCTCTTCTTTTGCCCTCACGTTTAGGTTCCACCTATACAAAGCCTTTCTATCCATCCCGCATCCCCAGCCTGCCTTCAGGGCCATCCCACCCTATCCGCCCCCCTTACTGCTGCATTTCCGACTAAGCATTTTTATCTGTCTCCCACAGCCCACCAGACAGGTTGCAAAGGGCTCTGTGTGTCAGCTGACAAGGTCTGGGAAGTGGGTCTGGGTGGTCCCTTCTGCCCCCTAGCCCAGCACACAAGTTGGGCTCTACGTAGACATGTCTACCTCCTCCCCACAGCAGAAGCCTGCGTGGAGCCCCAGATCACCCCTTCCTACTACACCACCTCGGATGCCGTCATTTCCACTGAGACTGTTTTCATCGTGGAGATCTCCCTGACGTGCAAGAACAGGGTCCAGGTGAGGCAGTGGGGGTTCAGCCAGCAGGTGCTGGGGCAGGAGGCAGGCAGTGAGCCTGGGACCTGGGGCATCAGTTCCTCACTGGCAGTTGATGGGGTCAGACCCCTGTACCCGTGCAGACAGGGAGAATGAGGATTTTGACTTACAGGTATAGGAGAGAGAGGTCAGGGTACGGCCAGGCCAGACTGTGTAAAGCAGGTGTTAAAAGAACATTTTCCTAATCTGCTCTGCCTAGGTGCGAAAACGTAGGTAGACGTCTTGCTGTGCCTGATGAGAGCATACGCTGAAGTGAGAAACCGCAGGAGTTTAGCCCCCAGGCTCCTGTACCCCTTTTCTGGTTGCTGCCTGCCAAGGCGTGGCCCTTCTGGTCCGGGTACAACATTCCTTGGGTGGCTCACTGGGCAGCCCCTGACCCCAACACCCGCTTCCAGACTCAGAGGCATTACGAGTACACTTTAGTCATCCTGCCTCTGTTCACAGTTAACAGGCTTGCTGTGGGTTAGGGAGGCTAGGCCACGGGGGGTGTGTGCCCCCCCCAGGGGAGACTTGCAGAGAAGCAGTAACAGCATCGGTGGGTGTTGGCTTCCTGGCACGGCCCTGGGTTGTGGCAGGCTACCTCCGTGGATCTCCCGTGGTGCTCCCTGCCCATAGGCCATGGGGGCTGCTGTGGGCAGCACAGCGGGGCTTCTGCTGAGCGCCGGAGAGGGGAGAGGGTGACTCTCTTTGTTCCCTCTCCCAGAACATGGCTCTTTATGCTGATGTCAGTGGAAAACAATTTCCCGTCACCCGGGGCCAGGATGTGGGGCGTTATCAGGTAAGGGATGCTATAGTTGTCATTTTGAGGGGAGGCCACCTGCTCCCTGGCATGACTTTGAAGCCCTAGGGGCGGCCCAGTGGAGGAGGATTGAGGTTCTGTGACGCGGGCGGCTGGTGGTGGTACTGTCCACTGCACCCACCCCTGCCGAACATCCCCAACCCAGGTATCCTGGAGCCTAGACCACAAGAGCGCCCACGCAGGTACCTACGAGGTCAGATTCTTCGATGAGGAGTCCTACAGCCTCCTGAGGAAGGTGAGGGTCCGTCACCTGGAGCCCCTCCCAGGCCTCCAGGAGGGAGAGCACCCCCCACTTCCACAGCCGTCTCCACCCTGCAGCCCCTTCTCACCGAAGCTCCAGGCCAGTAGGGGCCTCGCTTTCGCAGAGCAGAACGGCCGGGTGGGCACCTTCCTGACCACTCGCCCCACCTGTCACTACACGTCCCGTGCTCCTCTCTTGCCCGGTTCTCCTCTCTTCCATGACTCGGGCCAACGTTACTGCCTGTCCAACCTCTCCCCACCCCACCTGGCAGCACCCCTGACCCCAGCATCTCCCTTGCAGGCTCAGAGAAATAACGAGGACATTTCCGTCATCCCGCCCCTATTCACAGTCAGTGTGGACCATCGGGTGAGTGGGCTGAAGAGGCTGCCTGGTGTCTGGGAGAGCAGGGAGCACACAGCAAGCCTCGCCCTTTTTGAGCGTGCCTTCGTGCCCTAGGGGGAGAGTGACTGGGGCTGGCTGGCTCCCCGCCCAGCTCTCCCCTGAGCTGGCTTTGGTCTCCTTTCTTGCAGGGCACCTGGAATGGGCCCTGGGTCTCTACCGAGGTGTTGGCTGCAGCCATCGGCCTAGTGATCTACTACCTGGCCTTCAGCGCCAAGAGTCACATCCAGGCCTGAAGGTGGCACCCCTGGGCTATTGCTACTTTCAATAAACGGTTGCTGGCTCTAACCAGTATTCAGGACAGGGGGTCCTAACTCACGTTGTCGTGCCTTCTACACATGGGCAGAGCCGGGCAGCGGGCGCCCGTATTCACCTGGACAGCGCAGGCACTGAGTGCGGACGGGGCTGGAGCTCCTGAGCCTCGCGTGTTCGCTCCACACTCTGCCATCATGGGCTCTCGTTCCTTGGCCCCCAGTTCAGCCTTCCCTGCCCGCCGCCCCCTGTGTCTGCCTCCTGTCTCTCGCGGCTGCCTGCGCAGGTTTGGGCAGGGCGTGGGCTTGCGCTTCCGCCCCACGCGTGCTGTCTTCGGGCAGAGAGGACTGCCCCGTCCTGTCCTGCCCTCACCCAGCCGCTGGCCGGGCAACTGCCCAGAGAAGACCGGGCCGCCCCCAACTCCCCTGAAGTCCAGCAATCACGGCTCGGGTAGATGCAGGCCCAGCTGCCTTCAGAATGCCTCCGGGGTGGAGTCCTGGGTGGGAGCGAGTACTTCCCTTGCTGTTGCCAGGCAACACCGTGGGGGGGGGAGGGGCCTAGCTTGTGGCGGAGCTGAAGCCGCTAGCCAGGCAGCTGAGCAGCGCTCGATCCATGCCCTACACCCCCTGCCGCCTCTGTGGCCTCCCAGCATGTCCTCACTTCAGAGGCCCTGGGGGAGAGCTGGCTCCTCACTCCCAAGGGCAGGGCTAAAGCAGACTTGGGGCTGAGTCCCCTGCTGATGGGACCAGGCTAGGAGTACTGGTGGGTGGGCTTTCTGGAGTTCAAGGGATGCCTGCTGCCCCCTCCCTCACTGCCAGGGAGTAAAGGGTCCCCACGTTCTGCCAACAGCCTGTGCGGGGCAGACAGGGTGGACGATGGCAGCTGTTGGCCGCTCAGTGGCTCTTGATTCTGCTCAATGGCAGTAGGACCCAAATGTGAAGTCACTGTTCCAGGGCATCAGTAGCTAAGGGTTGCTAGCCCTCCCGGTACCACCTTTCCCAGAGTCCCAGTGTTGGCTTCTACATGGCAAGGGACTCCAGTTTATGGGCCTGTCTTGGCCCACATCCCAAGAGCACTGGGTCTCCAGCGCTCCCCTCTCCCCCAAGGCGAGAATGGAGTGCTTCTAGTGCCCATAGGGTGAGCCCCCCCAGCCACTGGAGAGGGACGCCAGGGCAACAGTTGGCCTCCGTCTCCAGCTGATCTCCAGCCAGTATCCTGCAGCAGGGACTGGGCCCTTGGAGTCCCATCCTTCTCCACAAGGTCTGCTTGGGGCCCACGTATCCCCTCCAGAGGAAGAGATGTGGCCAGTGCTGGACTCCAGAGGCCTCAGAGGGCAGAGGAAGCCGACAGCTCCAGAACCAGGCCCCACCCCTTGGGCTCCCATGTGCTCCTCACTGACAAGCACTTTCCTCCCTTCCCGCTTGCTGATGTTCCAGGCCTGCCTTGTGATGTGCTGGGCCTTCCGTCCCAGCTGCTCAGGCAGCAGCTCACAGATGCGGCCAGCCCTCAGGGCCCAGCCTTCCCCGCAGAGCAGTTGGCTTCTGGGAACACTTGCTTGGATTTCTAGCTCATGCCCATCTCAGCAAATTAGGGAAGTTAACGAGAGGCCTATGCTGATGTTTCAATAGAATCTTAATGCATCCTTGCTCGCTTCAGCTGCTGGCAGCGTCGTGTGTGTGTGTGTGTGTGTGTGTGTGTGTGTGTGTGTGTGTGTGTGTGTGTGTGTGTG